GAGATTGGCTGCGGCCCCGGGTGTGGGGTTCCCGGCCGGCCCCGGTGAGGGGATCCCTGCCGGCCCCGGGGGTTCCCGCCTTCCGCGGCCTCGTGTCACTGCTGCCCTCGTGTCGCCGCGCCTGCCGGGAGCTTATTTACAGCAAGTCCTAGATGAGTCAAACAAGCTCCAGAGTAAAAAACGCAGGAGTAAACTGGAGCGCGAGCGAGGTACAACAGCTGTTCCTGGTCTCAGGTCGGTGATCGTGTGTAGATACATGTTTATGTTGACACTCACAGGCGAGACCCAGGGTTTACACCATTCACGCAGAAAAAGCCCTTGGGATGAGGCGCTCCCGGGGCAGGAGTCGCTGCCACAGCCGGGCCTGGGAGGGCCGCGTTCCCTGCTGGTTCTGGCTGCGCCTGTCTGGGTGTGCGGGAGCAGCGTCTCTTCCTGTGCTGCTCTCCCTCCCGCTTCGCTTGTGCAGGTTATGAGAGGTGTAAATCCTGCCTCTTGCTGCCCCGCGATATGAACAGCCAGGTTGTGTGAGCAGAGATGCTGGCAGGTGAAGCCCGAGCAGCTGCTGCTTGCAGACCAGACACCCCTGTGCCCTTCCTGGTGGGTCCTGCATGCTGATCATCCACCCACATGTGCCGAGGGTGAGCTGGAAGGCTTCTGAACTGCAGCCCAAACACACTGACCTAGATACGCTTTCTTTAATTCTTATTTCCTTGGGTGCTCTTACTGGGAATCATACACAGTGCAGATAATGAACAAGCAAAATAAATGTAGGGAGTTTCCCCGTACCAGAATGCCAAAAAAGAATCTTAAAGAAAGGAAGATGGTTGAACTCGGTGATTATAGAGGCCTTTTCCAACCGTGATGATTCTGTGGTTCTGTGAAGATTGCCAAAAGCTGGTATAAATCACTTTAATTAAAACCTTTGAATGTATAAGTCACGAGCATGGGAATAAACAAAACTGTTAGAAAAGTTCTAAAAAGAAGCTACCAGGCAAACAATGACTTTGGTGGTGTCTTATTTGTAATTTATAGTGTAATAACAATAATGTTATTAATTTTATGTTGACTGTGTCTAAGACTTTCTACTCCATTTTATGCTTTTGTTACCTCTTTTATTGAGCTTGGACAACGTAGAGAAACTTAGCCTTCCTTATACTCATTTCTGATCTGTATTACTCCCTGATACATAACCCTTCACAGAAAGCATCTGCACTGTGCGTGCAAACATTCCCTTGACACATTGAACTTAAATATAAACTTTTTATTGTGCAATTTTTCATCACAGCAGTAAAAGTACATCTGGTTTTAACATCTTCCCATTAAAAAGGGTCCCTGCCCTGCGTTAAAACCCCATGTAGCTGGCAGCACCCTTTTGAAGGATAAAAAAGGGAAATACAGTGGTGTGGTGGTGTTTTCCCCTGCTATGCTCACAATATCATAAGGCACTGGCAGTGGCAGGGGATATACATGTATCTTCAGGAAAAAGAGATGCAAATAAAGACGGGAGAGGCCGCAGGTACCCTCGGGGGCAGTGAGCTCTGCACGTGTGCCAGAGGAACGTGGCCCAGGCACACCCAACTGCAGCCAGTGGGGTGTGCAGTGGGAAGGGGGGCACAGCTGGGGACAAAAGCCACTGCTAACACAGATTTTTGGTTAAAAACGGCTGTTTCCCCAGCGGGAGGGATGTCAGCCTGGCCAGACAGGTTTGTCCCCAGGATGCTCTGCGGCCACCAGTATCTCTCTGATGGTTGAGGGGTTTGCTTAACCTCTTCACTCTCCCGATTCGTTGAGGGCAGGAGTGACCTGAGTGAGTTAGGGAGTGTAAAGCAGCGCTTCCCCTTCAGATCTCTCAGGGCAGCCCTTTCCATCTGAACGGCTGCAGGGTGGGGAACAGTGAAGAGCTGCGAGCCCTCGCTGTGCCCACTGACACCGAGCGTTTGCCAGGGCTGGTGGGCTCCTTTTCTTCCTTCCCGGGGATGGAGTGTGTGAGGGCAGAGGGAGATCACCCTGCAGAACAGCCTGCAATTCACGAGCCAAAAACTCGCCTTTGAAAAGCATGTGGCCACAGCTCCATCTTGTGACCGAACTTGCCCAGCTGGGAAAAAAAGTGCGGTGCTGCCCCAAATCCCATGGAGGGACCTTGTTTCTCGGCAAGGCGTCTTCCCCTGTAGGCACCAGGCTTCGGTTTGCTTTGCGTGTCCCCACTTTTTGCCCCGAGATGTCCTCAGCAACCAACCACAACCCCTCCTCGAGCTTGCCAAATAGTGCAGACAAAATCACAGCTGTACAGCTAAAATAAAAACTCTGCTTGTCCTTTCTGAAGGCAAGTGTTTGAAGGAGCTGCTTTAAGAGCTGCGCTTGCAGAATCGAGGAGAGGGGAGGCTGCAGCACCTGGCTGGCAGAGCTCCAAGCACGCTGTGAAACGTCCATGCAGTTTCCTCTGTGGTGTGTAGAAGGGCCTTGTGCTTCAGCACGGTGACCCAGGCTGGGCGAAGAGCAAAAGCGATCCCTGCCTGGACTTGCTCTGCCTGGCTAATTCTCCCAGGGGCTTAACAAGCATCTTGCATGTACAAATCACCCAACAGGACCACATATCTTCCCCAGCCCACAGATCATACCACTGCCACATTTGCATCCCTTGCTAGGATTAAATCTCACTGTAGAAACATGACTTTCTAGGATTAAACTTCCCTGCTGGCCAAGTGGTTTCCATTTACCCTGTGCATGTGTATTAGCCATTTAAATGCAAGCAATAGCTTTGGCATTTTTGATAACATAAAAGCCGTAAGAGAAGGCGGGAAGGCCGAGTACACTGCCAGGACCAAGGGGTTTTTCTGTGAGCTCTGGCAGCGTTTTGTCATCCACCATCCGAAGCACACGGCCGTTCAGCTCAACAGACCTGGGGAGGGACAGAGAGACTGTTTGGGAAGCTGTCCCATTGAGCACAAACAGCTCTGGACCTGAGTGTAAACATAAACTTGGCCCAAGGCCAAGCTAAACTGTTGAGAGTTTATGTGTGCTGCACTCCCTCTGCAAGGGCTCCTTTAGAGCCCTAGCACAAACAAGTGGAAAAGAACATGTTTCTTACTCTCCTAGTGAGGTTAACAGCAGAACAGGCTTTGTACAGTACAAATCTGAATTGTTTTTCTCCTGCAAATATTAGGGTATCTTCTAAGTCCACAGAGCAGATACTTCCTGTGCTGGTGCATTAACATTAACAACAAAGAAACCATACAAAGCCTGAACATGTTGCTGTAAATTAGGAGCCAGCACTTGGGAAAGCAAGATATCTGTGCTTGTGCAAAAGGAAAAGAACCTTAGCAGCTAGTCCAGAGCCCTGAAGCATGCTGGGAAAAGCTTCCTGATTAACATCAAACAAATGTCCTCATACCTTTTCCCCTCTACCTTTTGAATTGAACAAGGTGAGGTTCTAGAGGCCATCTAACTGTACTTACAGTCCTTTCTACAGAGACAGGCAGAATTGCATGCTTACCTGGAAAGTATATTCTCTTTGCCATGAGGCAGTAAGAGGTACTGATCCACATGCTTGCTGGATAAGTAATTTGGTAGCTGCAAATGTTGGGTAACGTTGTAGAGGTTTAAGGCAAACAGCGTCACGTCCCCTTCTCTGTACTTTGGACTGTAAGGCAAGAGAAGGTCATGGTAGGGATCAGGTGAGAAAGAGGTTTCACAGAAATAACATACATCCTTGCACTGTCTCAGATTGCTTTTGTTGGTCTGGGGGTGGCTGTGGGCTCTGTTTCTGGGTATTTCACCCTTTCTGGAAGCTTACTGGAGGGTGTTTGTGCAGTGGAGGTAGACGCGGAGCTTCCTCTTGTCAGCTCCTTCCAGGCTGACCTGCAGCACTTTGGTACCCACCAACTTCTTGTAGAGCAGTGAGAGCCAGTAGTCCTAGGAGACATAAAAAAACACATGTAAGCACCTGCTAGGTGCACACCTGGGAAAATGTTGATTTTGCTGGTGATTTCAGTGTTTTTTCCCTGTAATTTTTTGCTTTACCAAGTTTTTCATTGTATCTGTTTAAATTTCCACAAGCTAAAGACAAAACCTTGCCTCCAAGCCACAGAGTAGCTACATATAAAAGGTACCTTAGAGTAATCTCCTTCATAAGCAAATTTTTGAGCTTTCTCTGGGGGAGAGACTGTGCATTTTGGAAGCCCTTCTGCAGGATACAGAGCACCTCAGGGCTGAATCCATGGGGAATGAGCTGCCCTTTCTGCAGGAAAGCTTGTGCCCAATCCACAGATGCAACACCAGGAAGAAGCCCCCAACAACTTTTATGCCTTTTCCTAGCATTGTGCTTTTGAACATGTCTCAGGATGAGTTTATGAATGCTGGTCAAGAATAAATCCCCTGGCACCCCAGGATGATACCTGAGAGCAAGGCAATGCCTACTGAAGACTCATTTTTTCCAGGTCTGTTTTTTCTTGCATCTTGACCGCTGCTTTTCCTCTATTAATTCTGTGACTGTACCCAAGAGAGTGCATGGTCTGCACAGAGGTGTTTTGAGACTAGGAGGCCACAGACAGGCTGCATTTTGCAGCATTGTTTCTTCAAGTGCAGCCCCATGTGAGGATGTACTCCAGCTGGCGGGTTTGAGACCTTCTCCCAGCTTATCTGGGAGATGTCTTTGAGGTTTTCCTAGAAGGAAAACTGTTGTGTTTTCTTCTGACTCACCACAAGCCCAGGAAGTGACTTTTCCTATCAGCTTGCATGCTCAGCCCCTCTGCAAGGAGATGCAGGCTTCTGACACTGCTGTGCTGCTTCATTTACAGGGTAACTAAAACTGATGGATCTGGACTTGGTTTTCTCTGCCTCTGAAGCATTTTGAGCTTGCTTAGCATCTGTACTGCCTCTAGGTAAGGAACAAGGCAGATCCTTTCATTCCAAATTTAATCCATTTGAAATGAGAGAATAAAAAGTCCAAAGCAACAAGCCTGGCAATGCTGTTGTTGCCCAAAGCAACAAGCCTGGCACAGGGACCAGCTTAACAGGCAGGACAGAAAATCCCCATATGCTGGGGTTTGTCTCAGATGGTCTCTATGAGCCTGTGAAAATCACAACTTGGAAGCAGAAAAATGAGAGGAAAGCTAAATGAAAGACATCCTTCTCTTACCCCAACAGAAGTGCTACTAGAACAAAGAAACATGCTGTACATGCAAGAATAACATGTAGTTCAAATAATGATGTTTCATCACAGCAGAATGGTATTTCCTAATAAATCAAGCTATACTGAATGCATTTTTTGTCATGTATTTATCCTTCAGCCACTTAAGGCTAAATATGCCCATGAGCAAAGAAGTGTTTGAGTCTTGACGTCAGATTTGTTTTGTTTTCACTAGGGATATAACACCTCACATAATGTTGGTTTAAAAGCCATTCATCACTCAGCTGAGGAGTACTCAAACCAAAACAGTCCCTCCAGAAAAGACTTACAAACTTCAGAAGTTTCTGCATCCAAATCAGAGCATGATCTCCCAGAAATCAGTCTCTGCTGTGCTGAAGACTAGCTCCACACCTGCAGTTACAGTGAATATATAGTATCTACGTATGTAACACATGAACCCATAAGGAAGCATGAGCTAACTGAGGTGCAAGGATAACTGTGACTATCCTACAAAATCTGTCACTATCTTGTGTTGTTAAAATAGCTGACTTGCATCTCCACATCCAGCACTGCCTGTGCAGAAATACATGCAGCATTCAGATGATGTTGGTGGGGCTGCATACATACCGGCAAAGGTTCAAAGTTGACATCCACCAGGTGATAGGACCCTGACCCAAAGAAAACCTGTCTCATCACCACATCAATCCCCTGCTGGGCTGAAAGCCCAAGTTTGTCCAACCACCTGCCAAAAAATGAGACAAACAACATGCAGATTAAATTGTTTATCTCAACTGTGCACTGTTACCCCAAAGGCTGAAATCATCACTGCCAGCAACAAGGTTGTTTGCCATTACCAGGCTTTGACTTGCTGACCCATCAGGCCCTGATGAAAATATCATAATGCCTTATAGGAGGGGAAAAAATATACAATGCAGCCATATTTTCTGTTGATTTTCAAAGTGTGAACCCCACAGTCCCATGCAATTTTTTCTTCCTGAATCTACAACCTGATCAAAGTGCTAAGAAAAGTCTGAATTCTATTGTTTCAATGAAATGCTGAAAATTGAGTCCGTGGAGAAAATTATTTTCATGACTAAATCTCCCTTTGGTTAGTAATTTCATGGTGGTTGAAGGATGACATCAGAAAAGGACACCCATCTGGCGAATGACTTTCCATCCTCATATAACGACCAAGTTAGCATTGCAGATTCAAGGTCAGAAATACAACTTCCTCACACTTCTCATCCCTTATTTTCTGGAGGAATCTGTTATTACCCGGGCCTACATAAAACCTCAGGCAGAGGGGAAGCACACAGGGAGCAGTGGGAGGGTTACGAACTTCAACCCAATCATAGCCTGCGCTCCTTGAGAAGCCCAAGGAAGATGTTCCTCCAGTGGGGCATGAACGCAATCCTCTGCAGCTGGTAAAATGTGTAATTTCCCCATACATGTGACATGGTACTTACATAAAGCCAGCAACATAAGTGTTGGACAGCCTGGGAGCTCCCCCTCCGTAGGCAGAACTTGTCTCTCCTAGCCAGACCTTCTTATTGGGCACAGTCCCACCAACAATCTGGGTGGGGTGACATAGGGAAGAAGAGACAGAGACAATAGTTTAGGTTTTTTTGTTACTGAAATAATGGGCAATCAACATTTTGTGCTTTAGCCAAGTGTCTACATACAATGTTTACACATTTAAGGGATAACACCAAATGAGGTGAGATGTCACAGAAATTTTGATCAAAAGAACTAGAAGCAAATATATTCCCTGCCCCCTTAAAAAAAAAATCATGTCTATGCATGTAGAATGAGCGAAACATCACCAAAAGCCAGGTCCTGTATGTCTTCTTGTGCCTGAGTGGGGTTATACTCTAAATTATATTATTCTCAAAATACAAAGAAATCAGAGGGACAGGCAGAGAGGATATGACCATAAATTACATCCCTGAGTAATGTCTTCATCAATAAATGAGAATGTTGTAGGTTTGTGATGTACCTGACAGCACACTTTGCAGCATGGCAAACTATTTGAGCTCATCTGTTATTAGTTTTGTGAATTTTTATTTTTAGTTTACAATGACAACAGCACCTGAGCTTTGAGGATCCCTATTTACCACTAGTGAGAACTTCTATTTTATTCTGTATTCTCTGCTAGCCTCCTGGAAACTGAACATGAGAATGGTCAAACAGGACAAGGCACCTCCAGGACTTCGTGTACAGCTGTGGCAAAGCTATCCAGCACTTTGGGGCTCAAGAAATCCTCCCTCGTTGCACTTCGTCCATTCACATAGTAACTGGAAATGGAAAAAAAAAACAAACAACAAACCCACAGCCAAAATTAAGGAAAAATATGACAACTGGTACAAAACACCACCCAAAGCCCTCTGTTGTTTCATACATTTATCCACAGCACTATTTTTCTGTTCAGTTATTTCCTCTTTTTGTCCACTCTCCCCTCAAATGTATAAGTACATTGTTTGAATTTAAGAGACTGTCAGGTATAATTACCTTAATGGAGGCAGAATATCACAGAATTTTTTTACTAACAGAAGTAGTAGAGGGTTTTTTGCATCTACTCATTTAGACTGAAGAAAACACCCCTGAGTAAGCGCCAGTTTCTGTAAACCCTCTGTTACCGAGGACTCTGACACTCCTATGTGATTATTTGCTTAACTGTTTCAAGTTACATATTAAAAATGCCAGCTCCCAACTTCTCTCTCTATGTTGGAGTGTTCTGGCCATGTGGAGGGCAATGAGATGGAGGCATACGTACAGGATGAAGGTTGCCCTCCACCATAAGCAGAAGAGCTTTTATGTCCGATTTCTCTGAATAAAGAAAGGGAAATGGGGATCCCTGTGGTTTTTGCATTTCATTATGCTGTCACTCAGTCCTGCCAGATGTAGCTGAAGTTTTCCAGCCACAAGAGGAAGCTAAAACTTGATAATCCTTAATTAGCAAAGAAAATAATGCATGGCCATTTAAAGCAAAAGGAACCACAGGGCAAGAACAGTCCAGGAAGGGCAAAAGACATGTTTTATACCTTCCTAGCAGCTCTAAATACATAAGTAAGTCATATATGTATACATATATACAAGCATATGCATCTTCTCCCACTGTTATCTGACTGCTGCACGTCACCGTGCTGAATTCAACTCCAGAAGGAAATCCCAAGGAAATCACCTTGTGGAGTTCATGGCAGGTGCCCTGAGGCCAACTTACCCCACTGCTCACCTGAGCACTTTAAAACTGTGTCCCCAAGCCCTGGCACAAGAGTGAAGGGCTGAGACTGTGCTGGTGCTGTTTGCACTGAGGGTGGGATCTGAGCAAGTTGCCCACACAGAGCCAGAACTGACTCAGGGAGCAAAGGTACAGGAGCAGTAGGAAATGCTGGCACTTCTCCATGGGTAAGGGTCAGCCAGACCTGCAGGGCTTTTCACTTACAGCAAACAGACATAAATAGAGAAAAAAGGCAGCATGTAACACACCAGCTAACGAGGCTTCTGCTGCATATTTTACAAGGAGTTGAGTGCATTTGCCAGCAAGGTCATAAGTGACTCCCTGAATTTGCTTTCAGGGAGTAAAGCTTTTGCTAAAGCAGATTTAGCCCATCTAATGCCAAGGAGAGCACGAATGTCAGAGGTACTGACTTGATTTCAAAGCCCAGCCACCCATGGGTTGTTTAAAACTTTATGTGAAAAAGCTTTTCCTCTTGCACAAGTTCAGCAACTGCATCTCTGCTGAGTAGGTCTAAATTACCTTATTTTGCTTTTAGACAACACCGTGTTCTTCCCATGGGAAAGTGCATTTTATTTGCAAGGGTTGGCAGATTGGAGCTTTGAGACAACAAAGAGTGCCACTCAGATCTCACTAGCTTGTGGTACATGTTAAACTCAGCATATGCAAAAAAAGGGTCAACTTCTGCAGAAACTCCTCATGTTGGGGAGAGCCGTGACCTACTTCCTTGTGCTTTTCTGAGAAAAAAAGCTGCTGTGCCATTTTTTTCTCCATGCTCCATTTCTGGTTTTCTCAGTGCACATATTTAGTGAGCAAAATTACCATCTTGCACACTGTTGCATTACCCACTGCTGTGCCTATATTACAAAGCCCCACTGCTTTTGGATCTCTGCACCAAGTAGGCTGTTTGGAGATCTGCATTTCTGTAACGAACTCCCCCAATTCATCTCTTATTCTGAGCAGAAAGGTTTGCTGAGGGGTACCCGAGGAATTGCTGAAAGGGGTATTTCACCCCTTCCTCCCTATTGAGATGTTCAGATCCATGCTTTCTAAAGAAAACAGGCGATAACTAGAGTGATAATGGTATCCCAGCAGTACTTACTGGTGCCACGTGACTGAGTTGATCACCTTCCCTCCCGACTTCAGGAAGCTGCAACCAGAGGGGATGTGGTGGAGAGTGGGGGGTTAGCAGGTACTGCTGATAGGCAGTGGGTCCCCCACGAATGAGCTGCCATGCCCAGCCCTCCCTTCTCCCTGACAGGCAGCAGTGATAGTGAACCGCAGCGTGGCTATGGAGAATTCTAGGCTGAAAAGCCCTTGTTAACACAGCACTAGAGCCAGTGCTCAATTGAAAGCTGATCACTGAAGTACTGCTAGTGTCTTAGTTTCAGCTGGCTGAGTATTTAAACATTGGACTCATGGATGCAAGTAAGATTTCAGTTATCCCCAGTCAAGAAAAAAAAAAAATCCTCATTTCTCATTTGAGGAAAAATACAGGACATTAGCTTTCAAGTAGACTGGATTTGTAAATCCTTGCTATTGGTTTGGAGGAGAAAATCCTTAAAATCCCACCCAGATACCTCCTCATGCCTCCTGCATCTGGGTGCAATGAGCCACTGCTAGCCATAGCAGGCCATGCTGGGGGTGGCTGTCTGGGCCCCACACCCCTACCTTCTCAGCAGGCTCTGCGTGTGCTTTCGGGGCTGCCCCACGTCAGGACCGTAGAGCTTCGCGTGCCGGTAGAGGGTGTAGCTACTCAGAAGTTGCCGTAAGTGAATAAAATCTTGCCCCAGCTGGAAGCCATCGATGTAGATGCCAGATTTCTTCCTGAAGCTATTGGGCTCTGGGGAAAACATGCACACATCAGGACCTTGCTTTAGTTTTGGGGCACGGCAGCTTGTTCCCCATGATGAGCAGCAACCCCCTGTGGCTTCACGTGATTTGGCATGACATGCCTGAAAAATTTGAAGGAGACAAGCATGAAACTGCAAGCCAGGGTGATGCAGTGTGCTCTGTCCCAGCCAGTCCCCATAAGTGACATCCTGCACCTCGTGGGCTAACCTCATCTCGGAGCCTTGTTAGGCACACCAAAATAATCTCAATTTGCTCATTTGTTGGGCCTTCTGTGAAACCTCTCCTTGCAAATTAAGACCTTAGTATTTCCCAGTAAAGTATCACCTTCCCTTTATGGGCTGTCATCCTAAACATCCAAAATTACCAGCCCTTACCCCATGGTGGTACCTTTCCAGGTGACTGCTGGCCTGGCCCACAAGCAAGCCTCATACTTACCATTCCCAAGCTCCCAGGAGATGTTGTAACCCTGCGAGGCACAGTAGTCCAGCAGCACCTGGGCATTTGAGCTGTCCCACTGCAAGCCATCTTTCCGTAGCAAGGCGTTAAGCCCAAATATCAGATGAAACCCTGAACAGTTTGCAAAGCTGTAGAGAATATCCACTGTATTCCCTGCACAGAGGAGAAAAGGGAGGATGTTATCTCAAGGCTACAGTGTGCTAGTTGCTTTTGCCAAGCAACAATCTTTACTGCCTGTATTTATTCAGCCTGGTGCTGCAGATGTGCCAAGCTCTCCCAGACAGACAAAACAACCCAGACCTTACTACACTCAATCCTGCAAGGGGTTGAGATCCTCACAACTCCTGCAGCAACTGAATACATATTTAATGAGGAGGCAGAAGATAGAAAAACATTTATTAGAAACATTTCACCCACTTAAAAAAATATGGTTTCAGCTCCTAACAAGCTATGACCCTTTTACTGTGGGGGAGAGATCTGCAACCCCCTGGTTATAAACCCTAGCAGAAAACTCCATTGAAGTCTTACTTGTAATGGTGGTGTTTTTGTGCTTTTTCCGGTTATACTCGGCAAGAATCAGCTTCTCCTGGCTGGGCCACTGGGCCAGCAGAACCTTCTCAACAGCAGCAAATGCAGGGGTCAAGCCACAAGCCTCTGTAGGGTGGAAGAAGGTTGATAGCAACTAAGTCCTCGCCTTTACAGCCAGGGTACAGCAGGCAAAGGGCTGCGGCCCTCAGGAGGAAGCACAACTGCTTGGTGCCAAGCTGAGAGCCAGTCGTGCTCATCTGTGAAACACACCCCTACTTTCACAATGTTAACTACATAGAAAAAGAGGGCTGTCTTGATGCATCTATTTATATATATATTATATATTTAAAATTTCCCGTGTAAGGTGATGGAGATGGAGGGGTAGGGGAAGATTGTGCTGTGCTTCTGGAAGTGGACATCATGGTAGTCACATCCCAACAAACTATTTTAGCAGGAGCAGCATCCAGAAACCCTCCTTCCAGGGAGCTGCCAAAGCATGTGCTGTGGTGCCTGAGGAGCAGATAAGGCACCCCAGGGTGCAACAGCGCAGCAGGATTCATGCCTGCCTTGCTGTGGGCAGATACAGGGCAGTGCTTCCTGCCCTGCCCATCTGGTGCAGGGGAAAGGGCTGACTGCCCTGTGTGGCTCCAACGACAATGCCAGCAGTGTCACAATACACTTTTTCTTCAGAGCTCATGTTTGATTCTCGTCATACAAACCAGGAACAAGCCATAACCAGAGAGGAAGGCATGAATTGGAGCCACAGTTACCCAGAGAAAAGGTGGCCACTCAGCAAAGTGGTACATGGAGAAAAGTATCATTTGACTTTGAAACCAAACATCACTAGCTGTACAGTGGTGTATAATTCCACTGTTGTGCTATGCACCACAGGAACAAATGGGAAGTTTTTGATATTAAACATCTCTAGAAGTGTTTATGTGCTATGTTTAAAGAGGCAATGGACTTCAGTGCAGTGGGAAACCTCATGCAACAGCACCAAGCCCGAGCAGCTGGCAGTGTTCTGTTGAAGCAACAGGATGGCAAGGCTGCAACCCCAGCCTAGCTCTGGCTAAGATAGAGAAAACTCTGTTCTCATTGGACTATTTCTTCCACTTGTTGCTTAATTTTCAAAATGAAACCACAACTTTTGAGCTGACCTTGACTGCCTCCCAGGCAGTGGGGGTGCTCCCAAGGCTGCTGCAGGAAGCACGAGGTGGCAAAGGGGATGTTCCAGCAGATGCTGGCGTGGACACGAGTCCCCCTGTGCCCTTCCTCTCTTTCCCATGGCTCGTACAGCTCCTGCCATGGACTGTGATGAAGGTCCATGGATCTTCTCTCCATGGAGGAGAGCAATGCTGACCCTGTGGAGGACACCCAGAGCTTCTGCAATGCCCTTGTGGCTTCCCCAGCTTGCATCAAAGCTACCTCCTAAAACCAGGATGTTTGCAAGTCTAGCATGTTGATGCCCATTTTACCTTGCTGTGTCTCAAGTTCCCAGAGGGTTTTTTCTTCTGAAGTAGATTCCTTGTTGGGGTCAAAGATGAGAAAATCTGTCTTGGTGCCACCAAACCTCAGGAACCCTGGGGACAGGGCTGTTGCTAGGGCACGCAGTTTGGCATTGCTGAGGAAAGGATGTTAAGAAACAGAAGAAACATTATATTAATGCAGACTCTGGCTTCAGTGTATAGGCTAAAGAAAGCAAGTGCTCAGAGAGACATGCTACAGTAGGTGACCTGGGGCTATCCAGCAGCCTCAGGGCACTCCTGACCCCTCACTGGACCTGTGCTCCAGCACTCTGCACTGTGCTACAGAGACCGCGCTGGCCAAGAGGCCCAGGAGAGTTTCAGTGAGGCAGCAAGGGAGAGATGTGCCCAAGGGAACACACAGAGAGGGAGTCAAGTCTTGTGAGCAAATTAAGGTAATACTTCAAAATGTGTTTTTTTGGTCGTAAGCATCCTTCTCCCCTAGAATTTTTTGTTTTGTCTATACAAAAACTAACATGCCAGTCCTGTGAGAAGATGAATGTAGAACTGACTTTACACCATCAGTCCCAATTTCCATCAACAGCCAAACTGATTGCTTTTGTATCCAAGAGAGACTGAGAGTCCACGTTGGGACACATGTTAGCTTTAGCGAAGCAGGTTTAACATAACATAACATAACAGAAGCTCTGCCTCATGCACAGGCCATGCAGGATGTGCAGCACTGACACCCGGCCTTCGCTGGCAGAAACCACGAGACATGGGAGGATGCCAAGCACAGGAGCACTATCTGCTTGGTGGTGACATACAGCAGATTAGAGGCCACCAAATACTTCCTGATCCTTGAGGCAGTGGCACTGGCCCTAGACTGAACTCCAAGGTGTGCAGTCAGGGCTGGAGGTTGGAGCCCTGAATACTTTCCCATAAAACTGGTGTCAACTCTCCCCACCTCGGTGAGCAAGAAAAGATTGGAGTGGTAGAAGGAGAAAAATCAGGACTGGAGAATTACCATGGGGCTGATAAATGTGATTGGATAGATGAAAAATAAATAATTACGACAGCTTCAAAAAAAAAGGCAGAATAAAGAGGAAGTGTGGGGGAAAAAAAATTAAAATAAATAGAGCAAAAGTGGGGAAGTGAAGAGAGAAGTCAGAGCCAAAAAGGACTAGGCAGTGAAGAGCTGCTCAGTGTTACCCAAAGGGGGGAAAGCGGCTTCATTTTTAGGATCTCTCAATTCAGTTTTGATGACGACAGACCTTCCTCAGCGTTTACGTGACTCAGTGTTGATAACACCCCACAAGTGTTTGCAAAGCTGCCCGAGGAGTCGGGTTATTTTTATGTCCCGGAGCAGCGGGGCTTGCAGCCCCCAGCCCCACCAGGCGGAACCCCTCTGCTCGGCAGCTCCCGTCTTTATTTCTGTGCGCAAAGCAGCTCCGAAGTTTACCCCGGTGCTGCCTCCAGCGAGTGCCGCCCAAGCTGCGCTGCTCCTTCCCCCCCAAACCCACTGCTCCTTCCCCCCCAAACCCACTGCTCCTTCCCCCCCAAACCCACTGCTCC